AATGTCAACAGACCAAGATCAGATGGGCAAAGCAGAGCAGGATCCTATGCAACTGCAGTCAAAACCCAAACACAAAAAAGAGAAAAAACCCATAATCCCTGACAGAAATCACAAATCTTCTAAGACAAATCCAAAGAGACTTGGAAGAAGTAAAGGAAAAAATTACAGAACTAGATGAACACATCACAAACCTCGAGTTCCACAATGAAGAATATCATAAATCTATGGAAAGTGAACAGATCAATGAAGAAAAGAGAGAAACAACCAACCAACAGCAACCTCAAGAAACACAAGAAAACAACATGAATGAACTGTTTGCCTCTCTAGATGGAATGCAAAACAGTATGAATCAGATCGTAGCAACAATGGATACTTTCGCTAGAATCCCAACTCAATAACACAAATCAGATGGGAAATACAACCAGTAATATCTCTTTAGCCCAAGAAAACAGTTCAAGCAATGACATGAATGCCACAACACTAAACCTAATCACAGATGAACAACTCAACAACACCTTTTCATGGTCAGACTCAGAAACATCACAAGAAGATATGACAATAATACAGAAAAAAAACCAAAAAACAAGAAACCAAATGACAGCACCAGCAACATCAGAAAACATCAGCAACAACACAATATTAATTTTAACAGTAACATACAATACAAGAGGATTTAACAACCCCTCAAAAAAGCTCTATGGCAAAAATATTGTACAAACAACAAGGTGGACATAGCTGTGATCACAGAAACACAAATCATGAATGATTCCAGCAAGCATTGGAAGGTTCCAGGCTACCAAAGCTTTGCATCAGAGGATAACAAGGGAGCAAGAATTATTATTATGCTCAAAACAGAAATCACACAACACATAGGTGGTATAGACAAATTTCCAGGAAGAGGTATCTGTATAGGTCTATATTACAAAAACAACAACAAAGTCAGTATTATTGGAATATATGTTCCAGTATCTTTCAATAGCAACTGCAAATAATTTTTAAGTTGGATGAACCAAAAAATCTGGGAAAAAAACAACAAAGATTTCCTCACCATTACACTGGGATCATTACCTATCCAAAAAAGAATACACATAACAAAATAATAATGGAGCTGCAATACGAATTGATTATATTTGGCTGTCTCCAAATCCAAACTGGTTCACACTAGAGGCACACATTATATCATCAGAGTTTATTTCCAATAGTGACCACAATATTGCTACATGCACAATACACACACCTATATGAGATGATCAAATAATACCACACAACACATCTCTCAAAACAAATGCATTCAATACTAAAGTGACAAAGGCAAAGCAATGGAAGCTATTTCAAAAGAACCTGGACAAGGAAATAGAACTACAAGAAGAATTACACAACACCATCCATATGTCAGTAGAAAGACTCTGGAACATCACCTGGAATAGTATCTGTATGACAGCAAAAAGACACATCAGAAAAGCCAACCCAAAAAAGACCCCCCACACACAAGCAAACAAAAAACTACTTCCAATCACACAAACTCAACTGAAACATCAGCTTGGTTTATAACCTTGGGAAACTTGTACATCTAGCCAATACATACATCAAAAGAAAGAGAAAATCGAATACAATAGTGAAAAAAATCAACAAAATGACAAAATCCCTACAAAAACAAAACACACCCATATGATTAAAACACAAAAACTCTTTCCTACGCATCTGAGGCGCAGTAAACACCCAGACGAAGGAAAAGATGTCAAGCAGCAACAGAGGTCCAAAGGCCTCAACCAGCAACCCAATTTCCACTGAAAGACAGCCCAGACATGAACAGAGTGAACCAGGACCCCCCACCTAAAGAAACAACAAACCAAGCACACAATAAGGACACCTTAACACCAGTGATTCAAGAAGAAGGATACACTTCATGGGGAGAAGAAGTGGGAAAAGAAATAAACAAACAAGAAGCAACTAAAGCTACAAACACCACAGAACCACACAAAGCAAGACTTGAGAGTGAGAAGCAACAACAAGCAGTAGGACCACCCGGCTATGCCAGAATAGATGACAGTGATGAGAAGATACTGTCTGAAGCAGAACTTAACCAAGAGAAAGCTACCAAGCGAGAATGGTTCACAGTAGACAAGAAAGGCAAACAAACCAGACCTTCAATCAAACCAAGACCCAGATACCCATTCGACAGAGCCACAAGATATGGGAGAAAAAGATACAAAGTAGGCATTGCTGCTAAACTAGTCAAGGGAAAAACAATCAACCAGAAGATTGAACACATCATCCTTACCTTGAACTCACCTGAAGAACTTCTCACAGTTCGCAGTGAGGGAAGAAACGAAGAAACAAAAATCATCGCCATTTTTGGAGATCAACAGGCAGCCGAACATGCAACCACAATCACATTTCCAGACATGGAAGATCACAAGTTAGCACACATGGAAATCAGATGCCAAGAACTCAACAAAGGAAACTCTATAGTTGTGTGGGACATCTCCTTGAACACAAAACTCATTGAAGTGAAACGGGTTTTTTCCAAATATGGAGAAATCTAAGGAATCACTATGAGTACCCAGAACCTATGGCAATGCACCACAATAACCTTCATAGACAAATCAGTCAAAGACAAATTAATCAACCAAAGAAGTATCCTAATTAGGGAAGACTCAGTCAGAATCAATGATGCAGAATGGTCACTAGACCAAATGAGAACAAGACATGAGATCGCAGCCAAATTAATCAATCTACCTCCAAACACATCAGCATGGGACCTCAAGAATATTCTCACACAATGCAATGTTATATCCCCAGAGCAGCAACAACAGCATACAAACCTAGAAGATTTGCAGTCATAAGTTTTGCAACCAAAGAAGACCTTTTGGAAGCAGTACAAGAAACATACACCCTTGGAGAAACAGAACTTATTTTCACACCAATTATAACCAAGCTCTGTGCAATCTGCAACTTTGAGAACCATATTGCCAAAGATTGTCCAATCAAGCTTCACCGCCAACAATGGCAGGAATACCAACAAGAGCAAGCATCCAAATTTGGAACACTATACAATAAATTTAGATCTGCCAAAGCAGGCACAATTCGCAACATGAACAAACCAAGACCAGATGGACAAAGCAGAGCAGGATCATATGCAACTGCAGTCAAAACCCAATCATAAAAAAGAGAAGAGAACCAACAATCCCTGGCAGAAATTGCAAATCTTCTAAGACAAATCCAAAGAGATAAAGAAGAGATAAAGGAAAAAATCACAGAACTAGATGAATGCATCACAAACCTTGAGTTTCACAATGAAGAATATTATGAATCTATGGAAAGTAAACAGATCAATGAAGAAAAAAGTGAAACAACCAACCAACAGCAACCTCAAGAAACACAAGAAAATAACATGAATGATATCAGAAGCTGCCAAACACAACTGTTTGCATCTCTAGATGGAATGCAAAACAGTATGAATCAGATCATAGCAACAATGGATACCTTCGCTAGAATCCCAACCCAATCACACAAATCAGATGGGGAATATATCCAGTGATATCTCTTCAGTCCAAGAAAACAGTTCAAGCAACAACACGAATACCACAACACTAAACCTAATCACAGATGAACAACTCAACAACACCTTTCCATGGTCAGACTCAGAAACATCACAAGAAGATACAACAACAACACAGAAAGAAAACCAACCAAATACACACCAAACTGCACAAAATACAAGAAACCAAATGACAGCACCAGCAATATCAGAGAACACCAGCAACAACACAACAGATTCACTTGAGCAACCACTAACCAGCACACAGCACAAGTGGCACATAGTAACACACAATACAAGAGGATTCAACAACCCCTCAAAAAAGTGCTATGGCAAAAATATTGTACAAACAACGTGGACATAGCTATAATCACAGAAACACAAATCACAAATGACTCCAGCAAGCATTGGAAGGTTCCAGGCTACCAAAGCTTTGCATCAGAAGACAACAAAGGGGCAGGAATTATTATCATGCTCAAAACAGAAATCACACAACACATAGGTGGTGTAGACAAATTTCCAGGAAGAAGCATCTGTATTGATCTATACTACAAAAATAAAAACAAAGTCAGTATCATTGGAATATATGTTCCAGCATCTCTCAACAGCAATTGCAAACAATTCTTAAGTTGGATGAACCAAAAAATCTGGGAAAAAAACAACAAAGACTTCCTCACCATTATACTGGGAGACTTTAATAGATTAGCAAATCCAAAACTTGACAAACTCCATCACTCAAAAGCCAACTGCAAAACACAACCCACAAATTCAATCCTTTATACACTCACACAACTGGGACACAGACACATACAGATTTCATCATCCATCCAAAAAAGAATACACATGGCAAAACAATAATGGAGCTGCAACACGAATTGATTACATTTGGCTGTCCCCAAATCAAAACTGGTTTACACTGGAGGCACACATTATACCATCAGAGTTTATTTCCAACAGCGACCACAACATCACTACATGCACAATACACACACCTATAGGAGATGATCAAATAATACCACACAACACATCCCTCAAAACAAATGCATTCAATACTAAAGCAACAAAGGCAAAGCAATGGAAGCTATTTCAAGAAAACTTGGACAAGGAAATAGAATGGCAAAAAGAATTACACAACATCACCCACATGTCAGTAGAAAGACTCTGGAACATCACCTGGAATAGTATCTGTACAACAACAAAAAGACATGTCAGGAAAGCAAATCCAAAAAAGATCTCCACACACAAGCAAGCAAAAAACTACTCCCAATCACACAACCTCAACCAAAATATCAGCTCAGTGTACAACCTTGGGAAACTGGTACATTTAGCCAATACATATATCAAAAGAAAGAGAAAATCGAATACAATAGTGAATAAAATCAACAAAACGACAAAAATCCTACAAAAACAAAACACACCCATAACAAACTTTCCTCTCCAGGAAAGTATCAACCAAAAAACAAGATGGCTGGAAGAAGTAAAAGACCTCTGGCAAGCAATAAAGAAAACAACTAACCAAGAACTACAAAACAACATCAACACCCAAATTAAAGAAGCCATCCAAAAAAGAATGGATCAATACTCGGAATCCAAAAAGAAAATGATTAACTGCATACTATCACGTGAACACAAAACAATTGAAATGAATACAATTGTCATTAAAAACCCAGAAACAACTATCATCACAGAACCAAAAGAAATCAAAGAACTGGCAAAGAAGTACTTTAGTCATCAACCAGTAAACCACAACACGTCACAAATCCCCACAGAATGGCAAAAAGAATATAAGCCAAGGGACAACATACAAGAAGGCTGGTACACAGCAGTAT